AAATAAATATAATATAGTATATATAGTAGTATTTCTACAATAGGATTGTGTACAAAGTTCGGCAATGCTACGCGAGTGGTCATGTTCCTTCCCAAATACTAAAAATTATCGCATGTTTTATTATTAATATGGTGTTAGATTTCATAATAATTGCTTAAATTAACGACAGTTGGGTAGATACTGCGATGTTGGTAAAATCGAAGTGATCACACAGTTTCGCTTCTGTTCCCCTTATTTGTTTCTGTAATTCAGCTAATGTTGTCTTTTGATATTTTACTTGGTGTTTAAATGCTATGTCTGATGTTCTCTTGATTTAGATATTTGGATTAATATTTGTGAGCTGGATTTCTTCGTCTATTTGTTAAGGTGCAATGTTTATATATACTTTACATTTATATGTTTCGCCAGAACAAGCCTGGGATCAGCTCACTTCGCTATTTGTTGGTTAGCGATACGGCCATGCGGAGCTTGCTGATATTGCTAGCAGAGTTGATAGCAACAGCGAGCGCAGTAGTCCCTTTCGTGTTTGCTTTGCAGATTCAGCAAGAATTTATCCTCCCACTGGTAAAGATCAGCCCAAATCACCAAGAAAAAGAAATCCTTCTCTCCGTTCAGCTCTTTTTCTTCACCTGGTAGGCATTAAAATGCGCATACAAGCGAGCGCTTTCCATATATTTTTCCTCATTTTCTCCAACTCACGTTAACATTTTCGAATATCTACATATTGACTAAGAGCCCTATTGTACGCTAAAATTCTAGTTCCAACTGAAAATATTTTAAATAAATCATTGCGATTGCAAAGGTCTTTAATACAATAAATCATTCCTAGCGACGGACCTCGGAACAGTAACTCTCTAATTACGATACTTACAAAAAGCAGTGTTATCTTCACATATCATATCATATTAGGGACCTACACTCTAAAATTAGCTCAACTTACCTACATTCATCGACCACAGAGTTTTCTAACTTAACTTTGACAGAAATCTTTTCTGCGTTCTATATCACAGCACCTATTAGATCTGGATATAAATCAAAGTAATGAAAACGTTGTGAGACTGCCAACGAATGTGGAGCCGTGTCAGTTTTTCTGAGCCGATTCACTCTGCTGATGCAATGACAAATTACAATGGAACAATCAGATTCGAAACGAACAAAGCACGAAAATCCGCGTGGCCGTGTATAGAGATTTTTCCTGACTCTTTTTTCAGAGTCTCCTTTCAGACCACAGATGAACTTTTAAGCAAGTCACTCAGAACATACGTTATCGCTTCTGTTTTTTAGGATATGATTTTAACAGTTAACCAAAGAGAACCAGAAAATCCGACTCACGCTTGACGTCGCCTACTAGAATGCAGTGTCGACTGGCCGTTCTGGAAAGAGGAGCACCATCGTACCAATGACTTTTAACAAAAGGAGCTACGACAGTTCGTCACTTTCTCCCCATTGCGCGCCATCTAATCGTAGTGGCAGAATATTGGCGCTTTTAATTAAAATCTGGCGCTGGAAATGCCTAAATGCAGACTATTATTAGCGCTGAGCCCAATAAACCTATCGCAAGTGGTTACGTTGAAAACTCCTGGAGTCCTTATAGATTGCCAATAATAATATCCCACCTTTTCATAGGTCTCGAACATCTCAATAGCTAGTTGGTACTCTCTAAATTTTAGTTGAAACTAGAGATGTCTCCATTGAAGCGTATTATATCAGTTGGCCGTATAAGACATGTTGCCGTTTCTGTTTTCACTATTTACATCGAAGAGAAGTGTCGATCCGAGAAACAAAAAAATCTTTGACATAAAACACAGTTTTAATGAAAAATTCCTATGTTACAACAAATATAGTTATAATCAAGTACTAACGCAATTCGTAATGGTAAAGAACAACAGCAGAAAAGACGCCTTTACGATAATATATATATACGGTTGTATCTATGAGTGGTGGCACTTTGCTGCAGTGACGTTTTAACGCAGCCTAGACAGCGACATGTGGTAGGATTTATCACTGTATCCATGAGAAGATCATTGCCAGTAGCAAGACACTTGAGGAACACCCCCGCAAGTTTAAAGAAGTCTATTCAGTTCGGTGCTGCGAATTTTGTAAGAAAATTGGGTAGATATGAGTTTCTCAAAGAAGAATCAAATACTTATCATTATCAATAATCGGGAGATTAAGACCATTACGGATGAAATTGCTATTATAAATGGCACGCCACCGTTCAAAAAACTTTGGTTATCATGTAGATGGTATTATTGTAAAGAGAACTTGTCCCAAAACCTGCAGACATTTCTAGATGTCCAGCAAACTTGTCGAAAACTTTAATTCTCGGAAATGAACAAGCAGATCTTGGATGACATTTCACCAAAGACAGTTGCCTGCCTTGGCTTGTCTGCACTTAATTAATATTTTCGCACTACAACCAGACAGTCTGCTAACAAAACAGTCGAACATTGAGAAGAGACTAATCGCTAATCGCCTGGCTGAGGAAAGTCAGGCGAGGTCAACGTTGGCCACATAATATCATTAAGTAACCCACTATAATGTGACTTGCTTACCGGTTTCATTACGATTATACTAACCTCGTGAATCCAAGCAAACGCTATATTTAGCCCAACACTGCAACAAAGTGCGTCTTCTGAGCCGATGGCTCACAACGAAGCCAGTTCAAGTTAACGTTCCCAGAACACGCTTAAGAAACAGGTGCATATATATAATCGCACATACGAATTTGCAAACTCATAACGTACGTGTCCATTGATTGTTAGCCTTTAATGTAGTATGAAGTCTGATTAAAAAATATTTTTTAGAATTCCTGCGATTGGAAACAATGAAAAAGGAGAAAATCACGTCATTGTGTTAATAGAAGTCTAAACAGAAACAAATGTAAGTTTTTAATTAAAAGCAATCAAACGTTTTAATTGCACATCTTGCTGAGCTAGTCCTCTATTGCGTAATATTGTATATTTAATATGCTCCGAAGAAACTTTCGACCTGTTTGTCAATGTATTTAATGCACGGTAGACAAAGAATAAAAAATATACTCTTTTCCGTTTTGGTAAAAATTTGTACCCTAATAGTTATCTTGGCTATAAAACATATTCCATTTTAAAGCTTATAACAGAACTTTGAGGTGAAAATAAGAGTGTCGGATGAGCTGAACGGATTTAATACGCATTTATTTTTTTGGTGCACATTGCAGGTTAATTAAGAAACGGGAAACGCGTATTCGTAAAAAATTCTTATACGACAGGAACATGCGTGCATATATAAGACAGAACATTTTGTTAGGGGGTATACTCATTTTTTTCCATAATATATGTACCACCCAAAAGAAAGCTTCAGGGACCCTATAAAGTATATATATTCTCGATCAGTGGCAAAGGGCAAAGCTTTCAAGTAGGAACTTGGCAACAACATAGCTGATTCAATTTGCGAAACGAAAACTACCCTAAATTCATTAGTTGGTTTTCAAAAGGATCTAACTGTAGATAGGGAAAAATCCATTTTAATGATTGTGCTCCGAAACAAGACGATTGAAATTTAAAGAGCAGTAACTAATAAATAACTCTAGCAAAAACCTTACAGAATCCCCTTGTGAGGTAACAGGTCCATTATAATTGATCCATTATCGACGAAGGCATGGTGAAACAAAGATATAGAAGTTTTAATAACGCATACCAATATAACGCTTTTGAGCTCATTAACAAACAAACGGACAGATCAAGTAAGTGGTAATGATCATTGAACATTTTACCCATTACCCAAAACGGATTAAACAAATCATAGTTGGCACGGCATTAGGATAGGTGCAAGAACAGAAAATGTGTTGAGACGCTACTGGAGATGTGAATATCAATAAGTTCTAATAAAGCCAGCGAATAAACATTTCTTTTTCCTAGCTGAAAGAGGAAGGTTACGTCTTTTTTCGAGTGTAGGCAATAAAGAAATGAGCTTCAATCTATTATTATACGGTGGAAGAGAAAGGGCAGGATCTCATCCCAAATCTCGCAAAGCAAACATCAAAAAAACCCGTTGAATATACTCTTTAGCTAGGAAGCCAAACTACCGGCAAGTTGGTCTAACTAGAGATGTACATCCGAAGATTTAGACAGTTGAACGACATCACGAATCAAAGCGGCATGTTTCATGTAGAGAGAAACATCTGTGTTTCAAGAAATATGCAAACAGGAAAGGAAGGAAAGTCTACTGAAATGACAATTAAAACAACACCCCTTGTTCGATTTATTCTACCCTCCTAAAAATATAAAAGTTACATAGAAAAAACATATATATATACGATATTAGAATATATGCCAGAAATACTTGTGCTCACTTGATATGTTTGAAAGCAATAGAATATTTGCTTTTTGATTATTCCGTTCTTGGATGTTTTTACTTTTGGTATTTTCGTTTGAACTTTTTTTTTAATAAAAATATTATCTGTATTTTTGGAGAATTAATGTTATTTTTCTATATGTGTAGCTATATACTGCCAAAACTAGTTTTGTTATATATATTCTATATATTTGCTTCTATATATATATATATATATATTTCTCATATCATTGTTTTTATTGTTTTTAAAAGAAAAAAATTGTTATAATTGCTTCCAATTTCTACATTTTGATTGACTTTGTTCCAAATATCATTTAAAAAAATAAAGGAAGCACGAATCCACACGACACCAACCCCTTTAATTCACACTTCAATCACGTCTCTTGTATGACTTCTTCTGGTTAATATTGACATGCATATTTCATATGCACTTCTATTCTATTTAATTCAAATGTTTATTTTCAATATGCGTATTTTTACAGTGTGTTCCACGTGTATTTTCACAAATTTTAACATTTCCCAGGAAGAGGTCACCTGAGGATCAAAATCGAATATTGATGAAATTGGAAATAATTATAAGAATTTCTTTTTTTTTTTGAATAATAATAATAACAACAATCGAAAATATTTGTATATATTCACACTATATAGTGGCAATTTAATACCTCATAACTGCTCGAGTGAAGTTCATCGCGTCCAGAGTTCATGTTAGATTACGATCTTTGTTTTCTTCTTCCGTTATATCCTTGGAATTTTTTTTCGCTTGCCACTCCTTGTTTGTGATTCTCAATTTACATTTACAAGATTTTCGCAGCGCTCGTCGATGATAACAGTAGAATACTCGCCAAAGTGCTCATTTACAAACTAATTAATAGCGGAACTAAGGGAAAAGTTGTAGAATATGATGGAAAATATTTTGGTTAACATATATTGTACCAATTCTTCTCAATAAACGTATCTTTCAAGTGAAAAAATGATTTAAATATATGCAAGAACCCAACATATTGTAGGCGGTACTATAATAAAATATTAAGAAGGAGATAATATAATGTATTATGATATACTCTAACATGTGATTGTATATTGTAACAATTTTTACAGATCCAACCTTGTTTGAGATAAGTTTATTATTTCATTGGTTAAAAAAAAAACAAAGAAAAAATTATTGACACTGAAAAGATTTTGGTGAAAAAACTGCAACCAATTTCAGGGGGTAAGAGGAACAGGGAAAAAAGTAAAAAAAAAAAAGATGTTGCCCTTTATTTCGCTGGATTTTTCATTTTCGAGAGTAGCGAGTGAAAATTCTGTAAAACATAAATAACAGCGGAAATTAGTAAAAAGTTTTATTAAAAATCATATTTACAAGTAATAAGACATGAACCAAAAATTTGAGCGTTTTCCAAAAAAGTTACGTCTAAAAGAGGCTTTGAAATTCGGGTATACGTGGGAATTGCAAAAGAAAAAGATATATGTAAATAACATTTTTTTCTTAATGTCAAATATCGTAAATAAATGTCCTAAAAGAAAGAAATTGATAGCGATTATTAAAAACTTGCTGATTTGCTAATATTTATGTTTGGAAGGCGCGAAAAGAAAAATTGAAGAAATTTATTTCCATTGTTCGGATTGTCAATTGCACACTGCAAAAAACTTTTGGACGCCATATTTGGAGATAAAGAAAGAGGTCGTTGCGAAAACTTTTATTAAACAATAAGATGCTAGTTTATCATGGAACAAAAAGCAATCATACATATTTATCATACAAAATTGATAAGAAAGTCCACATTCATACATAATAGAGTGATCATAAATTTGTGAAGTGAGTGGAAATGATAAAGTATAAAGTTATGTGCATATACATATATTTGAAAATCATAAATAGAATGCATAAAAATCACGTTAAGTGATCAGAAGTATTTTTAGCCGAATGCTGATGATAAAATAAATATACTCGTGATTGCTATATTGCTATATGTAAAAATTCTTAAATCCATGGTTAAAATTTGCAAGAAAAACTTTTTTGAAAATTTGGGGTATTTGTAGTAAGCGGCAAAATAGAATTATGTAAAAGAGAAAATGGAAACGCAAAATTATGTACAGTTGAGGAATTTGTGTGATAATTATAATATATGCATTAATAAATTGTTAATTATCTTATATCGCACACATATGCTCATAGTGCGTTGTCTTGCCCATATATCTTACACAAAATCAGCAATTCTGTTTATTTCAGTTTATTTGCCTTCTTGCTATCATTACGTTTGTTTTTTAATGACATATTCAAGACATGGACTCTCACATAAGAATCTTGCTATGCAAATTTTGCTAGCGAAATGTTTCGTCTTATACATATAAGGTTTTTTTTGTCACCAAATATTTAGATATAATCAATTACATACGAAGATTTACTTCGTGGAGTCTTCCCTGAGACCAGCGTACCAAAATGACCGTTTTTTTTTAAATCTGTACATGCCTGTGGCGCCACTAGAATTAAATCTTGTTGTCACTCTCATATTTTGGTCAATTTCACCCTTTTTTGCAAAGAGCTTTTGCTTCGGTTTTGTTTTTGTTTCTTTATAACGTTAGTTTTTTCAGGAAAATAAATGTTGTGTGAATTTTCTTTCTTTTAAATTACTAACTTTTTTATCAGAATTCTTCTCATGATTCTATTGATCCACGATGTGGTACAAATCACATCGCACATTTCAAGCAGGTTTAATTAGTCAAAACTGAGCTCAATATGTTGAAATTTGACATGACGTTTTATTTTGTATCCACATCGCTTTAAAAAAAAAAGACATACCGTTGTCTGTTACTAAAATGACATCTGAATAATCCTTGCAACTTTCAGGAGAGGTTTTATTAATTGTACAATTAATCAGAACGCTACTGACTTTCCGCATTGATTGCCTAACATTGCGTGAAACATAAAACCAGGAGTTTGTTAAGTAATCTATCAATTTATCAATTGATTGACAAAGGCTCAATGCATGAATGGATAAAAAGCATAACATCGTACAAAGGTAAGGTTTCCAAAAAGTCACGAAGATTTTTCAAATTTCGATTCGCGAATAGAGAAAATAATGTATCTACTGAGGTTAATTGATAGGATTAAGTAGTCGCTGTTAGAAAAAACTTGTTAGAATGGTGAGCAGAAATTCTTCGAATAGAATCTCTGACCTTGCAGAAAGTTCTTACAAAATATATGTTTCAAAAAGTTCTGATTTTAATGTATCTTTCGCAAAGTTTGAAATAAGTCCCACCTTTATACGATCAAGCAGGCGATGATTCAGCAATTCCATTTGACGTTGTCGATATTCGTTTTGCTTTAATCGAGATACTTCGTGTTTTAAGCACTTTATGTAGTCTACTGAACTCTTCAAAATTGTTCCTTTGTTAGGTCTAGTATCTCGAACTACTTCGTAGTATGGATCATTTGTTTTGGGTAGTAATGTGCCCAGCTCTTTGATTCGATCATTTATATTAAAACGACGCCGGCGCTCAACTGCAAAATATATAAAAATTTACAGTCTCATTTAAAAAATACCTACGTTTTTGCAGCTAAAATATAGCTAAAGCTTAGTTTGGAAAATGCCAAAACTTACTCATGTTATGATTATCCTTCTTTTGGCGATCTTTCGCTAAGGCATTTGCTTCTAGCTCGGCGATCGAGTTTTGCTCCTGCTTTATTCCCATATGAATGGAATAACTATTTAAAAACTTTGGTCTGTCATTTAAATGGTTTGATTCTGAATATAATACATCTTCAAAATCTAAGTCTGCCTGAAATTTAAATGAAATATAAAACATAGATTACTACCAGAGTCGTGTTAGGCTTATTTATTATGCATATTTTGGAAGTGTGTAACAAATGTGTATTTTTCATTCTTTTAAGTGGTATTGCGATAGGAAATGCCTCGCTATAATAACAATAGTATTTTTAATATAAATTATTTATTGATGTTTTATATTTGCATCCGTATTTTCTGCACAATTGTGCTTCAATGTGTCCAAATAACTGATCTCTTCAATATCATTTGACATCTCGCCAAATTCTTTCAAGCTTTTGTAGAATGCATTTTGTTGATCGGTGAGTACAATAGATCCTTTAGGTCGCTACACGACCTCTCTGCGTTACAATACATAACCTTACAACACAACACAATTTCAGCAAATACTATATTCCGATCACCTTCTTTTGATGTTATCAATGCTTCATCGACAAATCATTTATATAGATCAAAAGAAGTATGAAGGATAATATACTCGCTGTGGCAAACCAATATGAATTGAACTTGGATAACTAGATTTCATAAGTTTTTTTTGTTTTCTACCGATGAATAGAAATTATGCCAACTGCGCCGATTACACTTAATTCCTCCACTAACCTAGTTCTGTTACTTATTTGTCTGTCAATTGTTTTTTTTTTTTTGTGTTTTTTTATTTACGCCATTTTTTAAGTTAAACAATACTACGTTAAAAACGTTTTTACAAGATTGCCTTTGGATACCGATTTTTGAAGGATTATAATAATTCCTTTTTTCCAGCAGATAAGAAGAGTCTGGCCATTAAATACCCTACATCATTTCAGCGATTACACTTATTCATTCGTTGAGGTAGTAATACACCAAAAATGACACATTATTTTTCTGCAGAAGCGTACTTTTCATGGATTCTCATTCTTTTTATGTAAAATTACTATCATGAACAAGTTTTGACCATAAAATATTAACAACTAGCTCTTTTTTATCATAAAAGTTAAATTTTCTGATAATCCTTATAAGCGGTGATAACCAAATAATAGACCTATTGATCCTATTGATATGATCCAAATTTCGTAGGGTTGACTTATTTGTCCATTTACTATTATGAACCAATTTTCCTTTCGAAACTCAAAATTTCGAAAACTATACTGTTTTACCTTAAACAATTTAGTCTTCCTTCATAGGAACGGTTATATGAACGCGGTTCGACAAATCGTCCTAGCCGAACCAAATTTTCATACTAATTGAGAAAGTTGGGGTACTATTACTCAGTTTGCTGAAAAATCTTGAATATTGTAATTCTTTTCATATAACGACTTCCTAAAATACGGTGTTAGGTGTTGAGTGGTCGAAGAAGTGGACTGATCCTATAGCGTTGGTGCTTGGGTCAAAGAGCGTAACGTAAAATGCCTTTTGTGATTTTACGCTTGTTTACTGAACTTTGTGATTAAGTTCGTTCCGCTGTATTATAATTTTTAGGATAGTATAGGTCTTATTTTCAATTATTAGGAAATATATTTTGAATTGTTTACAGGAACTTATATTTACTAATATTCTCCGTTTGAATATTATAATTCAACTCTCTTGACTCGACAATGCTTTCTGCAAGTATGCTGCTTATACACACTTTTACAAGCAACATTTTTTTGTTGATCCCTTTTTACGCTAAATTTTGTATTAATTGTTATTAATTTTTTCGCCAGTCATTAGCTGCTTGGGTTAGCTAAAGCATCATGAATATGTCTTTCTTTGAAATTTGGCTTTTTAGAAAATCTACTATACACAAACCATCAAACGTAGGATTTTCGAAACATTATAAAGGCGTATCCGAAATTTTAGTGTGATTAAATAAGTAAAAATGTTCTAAGTATTAATTGAAAGTATCCAAGTATCGCCAGAAAGCAAGATAATAAAAGTCTTTAATATAAAAATATACTCAGGCGACAAAAATTCCCTTAATATCCTCTTGAATCTTCGTGATAAAAGTTTGGGGGTTTACGATAAATCGAATTTTTGTAGTTGTGATTTGTATGTTTAAGTGACTTGTCAATGTGCTTACTTATGAATAACGGTTTATCGCTCAAAGGTTCTACATCATTGACATCACAGTCATTATCTTTAAATCGTTCAAAGCAAAACCGACAACTAAAATATGATGGAGCAACATCACCATAAGCTCCTAAAAGTGTTTGATCGGCTTCGTCCGAAGATTTCTTCAAATCAAACAAACAAAGTGATTGATGTCGAAAATGCAATTTTGAGCTCCCCACGATTATACTGAATAAGTAATACAGCACCTTCAATAAATTTTACATTAACTTGAGTGATCATTTTTACTCAAATTACTCTATTGGTATTAGAATCATCAGCAGCCGTAACTCAACCATATGTATTCGTAGTATTAAAAACCTTATATCCTAAAGAAGTAAATTAATGTTGATATATTTAATTCACCCTTTTCATATAATAGACTATAGTATATGACCACTAACAGATTCAGTTGAAGCTGTAAAAATAGTTTCAAGTTTAGTAAAATTATTTCACCAATACAATATATTTATTTTAGGAAATTTAATTGTAATTTTAAATGTTTATCTCTGATGACGTGATGTATATGACTTCCAATCACCAGGTCTTTTAATTGGTATAATTTTTGTTATTTTCTTAATATGATGTACTATTAATTTCATTCGCCTGAGTGGCCGAGTAGGCAAGAGTCTCGACTAGCAACTCAATGGACGTCGGGTCAAATCTCAAGTGCGGTAGAGTTTCTAATCAAAGCCGAAAGCCTTATCTGCGTTTAAGACTTTAGTCTTAGAATTTATTCTCTGGCTAAATTCATATTAATAATAATAATTAATAATAATTATTCATTTCAATTATTGAAATATTTTTATCTTCAATTTTGTGTTTAATTTTATCTATTTGCTCGGAAAAAAATATCACCTTTTGAATGTGGATTTGATCCTAAATCTTCTTCACGTCTTTGTGTGTCTTTATAATTTTTTTTACTTACTATCATTTTTCTTACTTTCTAGGCAGAATTTCTTTAATTTCACCTATTGTTATCATTGTAAAAATACTAAATCTATTTTGTTGAACTTTTTCCTCTATTCTTTTTATTACTATATTATTATTAGATTTATATCATGAATGAAGTCAAGAAATATTAAATTGATCTAAATAATAGGGTTGTAATCAAACTAACAATTAATTTGTATTAAAAAAATATTGATTATTCAAGCTACCTTGAATATAAAGCGATTTATTGCTATTAATTTTGACCTAATTATAGGCAAAATTATCTTTACCCTTGAAATCAAACAGAGCTATATCATTGTTAAGGATAAAATATAGAATTAAAGATTTATGAAGCTTAAGTAAAGGCTGCTAACTTTTAATGGTTAAATATCATTCATACTTCCATAGTTATAGGGAAGATTTTATTAGTATCAATAATATTAAATGAAAAGCTGTTATTTTATGTAGAGATACGTCAAATTATCGAATTTAACCGACGTGTTTATTAATAACTTTATGGTTTTTACCAATAGATGTTGCTGATTAAAATACACGCAAACACATATTATTTATAAATAAAAAAATTCCTCTTCATATATCGTTCATGTAAAGTTATATTCAAGAAACAATCTCCTTTTGAACGTTCGAATAAGAACAAGTAAAAAAGTTATATTCGTTATATAAAGTGACCAAATCTCGAATAGCCACCACCTTTAAAATCTTTGGCTCCCCATGCTATTGCTTATTGTCATAAAAAAGTGAATGGGGTAAAATTTTTCTTTCACCTCACTAAAAGATATTGCCAAGAGAAAATAATTTACGTCGTGACATCAACCATAATTCCATTATCCAACTAAAAGTACTTGATGTGCCTATCGCTTGAATTATGAAGAAAAAAATTAATTCACCATATCGTGGTGTTTACCATATTTATTTTAAAATTAACGCATTTTTAGGTAGATAATATGTGTTCATTTTAGGAATGTACAAAACAAATTTAAATATTCTGTCTTTTTTGCTTTATGATTAAAAAGCATTAAACTTCAAAAAAGTGAAAGCAAGAAAGTTTAATGACTTCCAAGTTTGTATGGGTATAGCCGATTTTTTCCGCTTTTTTAAACAATAAGTAGAGTTTTTTGTAAAAAAATGTGGAAAATTTCAGACCTCTATTTTTTATAAATTTTTGTTTGGAAAAACAGGGTTGCTGTCAGTTTGCGTTTCACTGCGGGCTTGTGCTCCGATCAAAATGACCCATATTCAATATCAGTCTGCGTGCAAATGCTCCTATTATATACTACTTCTACTAAATTTGAAGTCGCTGAAGTTGACTTCAAGAGAGTCTCAACAACACACAGACACGCAGATCTACAGACGTAGCCTAATCGATCCAGAATTTCGTGCTATGCATATACTTTGTAGGGTCTTTGAACCTGAACTGAAAATGAATCATACATATATATACATATATATCTACTTCGTTACGTTAAGTTACAAAACATTGTATTAATTAAAAATGTGACGAATAAAAAGAGAAGATAACAAAAAGCTGGCGTCGTTGATAACGCTGGAGCGATGTCTACACGCCGCTGCTGTTGATAATGTTAATAGTGATGACGACCATGCAAAAATACTAAAGATATATATTATATTTTTGTATACATGAAAATAATTGTTCTTTTCTTTATTACTATTTCAAAGACATTTCGTTAACTATTTTTCTGTCTCTTTGAGTTTCTCCTTTTTCCTTCCTTGTTTGCGTTTTAGTCAGTTTCAACATAAAGTAACGGTTAAACACATTTGTAAAATTAATGGCTTTCAAATTTCGACTAAATACCAATTCCTATTAAGAACATTTCTCATCTTCTTCTTCCTTATTCGACAATGACGTCATAAACAGGTAAAAATATGATCGTCTCGAATTTTAGAAGCACCCAATTTCACACGTATTCTACTTGTTTATTCACTCCGCTCATTCTGTTTCGGAAATTGTGTGCTTTG